TGAACCCAATTTTGAATTTCATACTAAACCCCACCGTAAACCTCATTCTACACCCTCCTTCGAGACCCCACAGCAGACCCCATTCTAAGCCCCTCTGTGTCCCTCGCAGTTCCCGGGGCGTCTGCTACAGCACCACCACGAGCGCCCCGAAGCCCGCGACGCCGCCAGAGGACTCCAACGACTGCGGCCTCTTCAGCTTCCGACCCGCCTTCCTTCAGAAACTTGCTAATATTAAGGTAGGTGGTCTTTTTTTATTGATTTTTTTTCGTTCTTTTTCTTTGGGTATTCTTCTACGTTTATTTATTTATTTATTATTTATTTTTTTTCTTGATATGTTTTCTCTTTTTTTTTGTGTATTATTCGCTTCGTTGGGGTCTTTTTTTTTCTTTTTTTTTGTTTTCTTGTTTGTTCCGTTTTTTTTTTTCTTTCTTTATTTTGGATCTGTGGATCTGATGGTTTGAAGGCAAGGATAACTGCGGTAGGGATATGCTGTCGTGGAGGTGAGTTTAGGAAGTGATGTTGCTTGAATTGTGTGGTGATGTTGACCGCCTTTCCTCGGGGTAATGGTGGCCATGTTTCTCTGACAGGGAAACCTCTTTACGGTAAAAGGAGGGTGGAAAAAAAGTCATTTATCTCTTTTATTCTCCTCACGTACATATGTTTGTGTCCGTAAAGGAAATGTGTTGAATATATCAGATCCTTTTCCACGTGCCTTTGACATATAGATATTCATATCACAAGTTTGATTTTTTAAAATTTTATTTATTTATTTATTTATTTTTACTCTCCTTTTACATACATATATTCGTAGTCTCTTAAAGTCATTTGGCGGTTGGAAGTTACATGTATAATTATTCAATAATTTGGTCCTTTTTGGGCATTGAGTCCGATATCGTCATCCTACTTCAAGTCCTCTGACGCGTCCCTCCCCCTGCCCACAGATCTTCGTGTTCCTGCTGTCGGTCCTGGTGACCATCCAGCAAGCCCTGGCGTCGGGCTACCTGAACTCCGTCATCACCACGATAGAGAAGCGCTACGAGATCCCTTCCTCGCTCACGGGGGTCATCTCCTCCATGTACGAGATCGGCAACGTCATCACGGTCATCTTCGTTTCGTATTTGGGGTCGAAGAGAAGAATTCCCGTCTGGATCGGCGTCGGTGAGTGCGCTCGCTCGCGGGTCTTGGGAGCGCCAGGAGCAGCGGGGTCGTTGGTTGTTGATTTTGTTCGTGTTGATTGTCATGACCGTTATTGTTAGTTTGTTTGATATCATCATCGTTACTTCCATGTTGATTTTCATGGCCGTTATTGTTAGTTTTTTTTCATATCGTCATCGTTACTTCCTTTAATTTAGCTTTTGTGTTGTCTGATTCATTCGTTATATGATTATTTTTCGGGACGTCTCGGTAGTTGAACTTCTTTCCAATCTTGGGAAGGCACACTTGTTCCTTTCTTATTATGTACCCTCCCGTTTCCAGGCTGCTGCGTCATGGGCATTGGCTCGATGCTGTTCGTGATGCCGCAGCTCATCTCCGACCGCTGGTCCATCGAATTGGAGACCATCAACGACACCGACTCGAAACACATCTGCCGGAACGCGCGCGTGCGGGACGACACCTCCGAACGCCTCTCCGACCTCGGCTTCGGAACGCTGCCCGGTGAGTGCGCGGTGGCCAGGTTTTCGAATTTTATGGCTGGAGGAAGTTTATATTTCTGAGCTCATCTATCAGCCTTCTTGCTGTGTCAATGAGTAATCAAAACGAAGAGCTAACAGAAAAAATATTACCAATATTGAGGTTATTTCGTCATTCTTGCAGTATACGAGTGACGACAGAACTTAAGATATTATCAAATGTATTTTTCATGGGCAATAACTTCAACTCTGCAGACCTGTCGAAGGGCGTGCCCCTAGGCTCGCACAACAGCATCCAGTACGGCAAGCCTGACAACTGCATCAAGGGCTCCCGCAGCAACGTGATGCCTGTGCTGTTCTTCATGCTGGCGCAGCTGCTGCTCGGCGCCGGCGGCTCGCCCCTCTTCACGCTCGGAACCACCTACATCGACGACCACGTCAAGAGAGAGAGTTCATCCATGTATATAGGTGAGTGGATATGTGTATGTGTGGTCTGTGTGTGTGGGGGGGGGGGAGTTTTTTTTTTTTTTTTTGTGTGTGTGTGTGTGTGTGTGTGTGTGTGTGTGTGTGTGTGTGTGTGTGTGTGTGTGTGTGTGTGTGTGTGTGTGTGTGTGTGAGTCAGTCAGTCAGTCAGTCAGTCAGTCAGTCAGCTGTGTATGTCTGTGTGTGTTAATGTATTTTTATACTACTAAGAACTTCTGATACTTTCTGGGAATTTGTATTGGATTGGACTTCCAATCAGAGATACATTAGCTTTGTCAAGTGAAAGTTATGTTGGATGATTACGTTTTCATTATTTTTAGCAGAGTGATGTGATTTGTAAATGAACATGACTTCCATTCAGGAATTTCTACCCATGGTTGCCTTTGGTCCGTTCTCGGAATTCTCGTACTTGCGTCTGCTCCTAACAACTTCAATAATTCCACTTAACGCTCTGACCACTTAGTTTGTTTTGATCAGTCAGTCATGCAAAGCATAGTGTAAGTCTTATTTATTATATGACGCTCATCTATTATGCTTGTCGAATCTTATAACATTTCTATAAGATCTTCAGAAATGAAATCGATAGAAATGATATAGTAAGTCTGTACATCATGTCCATACCTGTTCTTGTGGTGTAATAGTTACTTTGTGCAGTTGATTGGTGAGAATGAATACTGTATTGCTGTGTAGGACTTGTGAGTGAGGATGTCTCCATGCCAGACGATAGAGTGGTGCTACCTACATCTCGCTCTGTCTTCCCATTGAGAGTTCTCATTCATAGGTAAAATCCCACTCACTAGATTTTCTCAAGTCACTACTATTATTTCTTGTGATATTTTCATTCATCTAATACTCCATAAGAATTTTACTATTAATGCTCCTAAATGACTTATGAGACGCGAGAAAGGTGTAACAAATTAAGATCTCCGTCTTCGATCAGTAGATTACTCATCTCTCGTATCGTCCCAGACTCACTAGCTCACCCTGAGTTGCAGGACGTGTGGTCTAATGGACAATCAAAGACAATGCAGATTATTGCTGGGCTTGATATTATCTCTGTTGATTGGTCGGTTTGTGTGCTAATGCTGCTATGACTCCACTCACACTATTCTGTATAATTTCTCTTGTTCTCTCAAGAACGTAGTTATAGAAAATCTAGATATGGCAGAAGAATTATTTTTTTCGAATGTTGAATAATAACTTTTGAATATTTTTAATCTTCTATAATAATTATATATATTTCTCACTATTTTGACTGCATACAGATTATAACCTCCTCTCCTACCACTCTCCAATAAAGAGACATATGATAAACTCGCCTAAATTTTGAGTTCTTAGGCGCGATACCATGAGATTTACCTGAGTAAATATTACTACCTATCTACATTCTATCATATACTTACAATAGAAAGAAAATACAAAAAAAAGTGAGAATGGAACTTCATTGTTAAGAAAGACATAACAGAGACTCTCACACAAAAAGATTTGTCACTTGGCGGGACGAATAACAATTAGAGTAATACAAGACAGATATCCACAATGCTCTACACATACTAACGTTGATACAACACCAGAGCCGCCTAGACTATAGTGTACTAAGCAAATGTTGCACAATTATTGTGGCTATTAGCATGAATATTAAGGTGGGCTAAACTGGAGACTCTAAGAGGATGTTGACGGGAATCTGATTCCTAGTAAGGGTGAGAGAATGCGAAGCGCGACTCTTTTGAAGACTCTTGGACAGGGAAGTGGATATGTAGCAATGAGAACAGACACTAGCATGAGCTTTTAGACACAGGATGGGGTGGTGGGGAAAGATACCATGTTTTTGGAATGGTCGCGCGAATGACATTTCGCTCTCTCGATCTCGTGTCTTGCTCTGTTTGTCATGTTGCGACTCGCTCTGGTATGTCCCCATGAATTTTAGTGAGATTGTGTGCGTGTATACTTCATAGTTTAACATGAGGAGGTCTTCAATGATTTTGATTGTACAGGTGAATTAGATCTTCTATAGGGTTATAATCGTAAGTATATTTATAAAGTCGAAGTCCTGATCTCCTAGTCCCGATCCTCTCGCAAGATGACAACTTGAGTGAACAAGCACTTATTACCTGCCTCTGAAAACTAACCTTTTCATCACCTATTAATGTACCCATTCGTTTTGCTCTCTATTTCACCAAACCTCGCACAGAAAAGAAAGTTAATCAAGATTACTTTCCTAAGTCTTGCAATCCCTTATATCCAATTTTTTAAAAAATCATGTATTTTTCACTCCACTTTTTATTGCGTCCAGTGATGAGCTTAATGCTCTCGGAGTTGTATGGTGTGAGGAATAAGCCACTTAATCACACTATGATATCATACTCGCAAACCCTTATTTAATAAAACCTCAGGTTAGTTCTAATAAATGCTAGCATACATGCCATAACCTAATCTAACCACTGAATGAACTTTCTCTCTAAAGAGAGACTATAAGTAGCAGACACCATTCATATCATCAGACTCCTGCAAAGATTAGTCTTAATGAGTTTAGCGTGCCCCGCGATTGTATCGCTCATGTTGGATACGTGTGTTAATTGAGATCACCAAAGGCAGCTGACACACTGCAAGGAGAGGAGGCTCTCAAATCATCTTGTGTTCTGGAATTCGATATGTCATCTTCTCTTCACTCCATCTACAAGTAGTTGTAGACGACTCAGTTCTCTCTTTCTAATATTCAAATGCACGCTGCGCATATTATTACATACATGGTTAAACTTCCTTAACGTTCTGAAAATACATGCTCCATATATAGGGGGTATTATAGATAATATAAGAGGAGATATGCAATTCAGTTGACTTAGTACTCAATCTAGTACTAATGACTCGGATATATTAGTATTTCTATTTTTTCATATATCAATATTTAATGATCAAAGTAATCAGGTTTTCAATAGTATAAATAGAAATGCATTTGATGTTCGAGAGAAAGCTAGTTAAGGAGCATATAGACGGATGACATAGTTATGTGTCTATAGAATATAATTGAGAGAGATATATTTTAGACAAGGTATTTGTTCTACCAACTATATTCGTGCTTTGGTGAGGAATACATCACTTGCAATACCTGCTTAAGACTGAATCTATGTATTGTTTTATCTTTAACCTATAGACCGTAGGCTACTTGCTAGCATAAGGCGGCTTTACCTCCAGCTACTAGAACCTAAAGTAAGAGGTGCGGCATACAGCTGGACTTATTTGGCTCTATGCGCTATTCAATTTAAACTCTCAGGGCTCTAGTGCTACTCTTATGTAAAAATGGCCAGATCCTCATTGGATTTCGTCCTGCATTGAGAAAGGCTGATGATCAATGTCAAGGATGGCATGTTGGCCCACCACAATCGTGCGCATATTTAATAAGTATGACATTAAATATTTTTTCTTTCTGTGTTGTTGAATGAATTGATCAGTTTGGATAATCCTACTGACCTATATGGTAATAGATCTATGTACATAGGCTCCATTTTCGTTTTTGCAGTATTTATGGGCCGGATTGGACAGTGAATGAACAATACTATTTGTTCTCACGCTGTCTTATGATAAATACTCGGGCGCGGGCCTCGGACGCAGTAGGGAGTGATGGGAACAGTGTTGTGTTTCTTATGAATTCTATTTTTGCCTCTCATACTGCTCAACTGCTAAACACCACTCAGTGTAGCTATAGAATCTCGCTAAGCTCATTTTCCCTGCCTACCTCCCAATTCTCTCCACAACATTCACTCCCCCTTCTTTACCGGACAGGACTAACCTCAAATAGAGGAACCAACATCTCTACTTTAATGACGTAAAGAGCCAATAACCGCGGTCATATAACTCCACTACTGTATGACAACCGAACAGGTGCTTTATAATTAAGCCATTTCTAAGTGAAACCTTAGTACTGCTCTCGGTAAAATTGTCATTCACAAGTATGGCAAATCATTTGATCCCTTTAATCAACATCATGATCTCTCTATTTCGCTGCGCTCATGTATTAGCCTGTTGTTGTGGCAAACAATGGACTAACATACTTTTCTCTGTGCATTGTCAATGCTGGACATGACACACCAGCACTATATATCTCGCAGCCCAGATCTAATATATGCTAATTCACCAATACGTAGCAGTGTGATTATAGGTTGCCTAATTTAAGCTTATAATTTGTCTTCGCTGCGTGCTTTTAATTTAAGTAAGAGTGCCAAGCCAGGGCATGAACATGCAAGTGAGAATATGTCATAAGTCAGATAAGCAAAGCTCAGGCAGCAGAAAAAAAATAAGCCGTATTGGAGTCATAAAGATTCATTGAAATTCAATCTTGAAATTTAAGGCATATTCCTATTAGCCATTTAAGATATAAATTGTACATATGGAATAAGAGGCAGAAAAAATTATTTGATAAAGATCATGAAATTTCACTTGAAATTTAAGGCATTTCCTATAGCTTAATTATAAATGTACATATGGCATACACTTGACTTTTAGGTATTAAATGAGTTTCTTTGCAGGTATCCTGGGAGAAGGCAATCAGTCATCACCGTTCCTCTCATCCTCTGCGTCCGGGGGTGGTTTTTCTGAAGTGACTGTTGTCCCAGTGGCTACTGCAGGGCCTTGCTATTACCCATGCAACACCATCATGCCTTTCATGATCCTTCTGTTTTTCATGTGCACTGTTGTAGCCATAAGTCAGATGCCCTTACTTATGATTGTGCTCAGGTATGTGTTTATAGAAAATCATAGATCTTACCGGTGTTTCCTAAAGAGAATATGGTGAACTTTTTTTTTTTTTTTTTTCTTTTCTTTTCTTTTCTTTTCTTTCTTTTTTTTTGACTATGATATGAATAAGAATTAGATAAGTAAGAGTCCCTTTAGTATACATATGCATGTATTTGTAAGGAGTTAATGTAATTTTTCCCTTATAGGTCTGTAGATGAAGAAGAGAGATCGTTTGCTCTGGGTGTGCAGTTTGTGATATTCCGCCTCATTGCATACATCCCGGCACCAATCATGTTTGGATCTGTGATTGACTCCACTTGTCTCCTTTGGAAGAGTTCTTGTGGAGAAAAGGGAGGCAGATGTCTCATTTATGACATTGAGGCATTTAGGTTCAGGTGAGCTGTGATTTTTTCTGGTTTCTCTACCACATTAGCCATTGCAAAAAAAAGAGGGTGAAATAGATTTTTAAAAATTGGTTATAGGTTGGAAGTAAAATTCTATACATTTCTGTGAAAGATGGATATATATTGTAATGCCTTGTCTTCCAAAGGTAGTTTCAAAGAGGCAGGTATATAGTTGCTTGTCCTGTTGGCCCATGACTGTGTAAACTAGGTACTGGATCTTACTTGCATGGGATTATGCCCTCATAAATGTGCCAGAAATCTCACTAAATTCATGGGGAACAAGGGTGAACAGACAAAACAATGGAGGTTATGGACAATTTCCAAAAAGGTCTTTCTACATCTGTTCAGGGTCACAGTTGTTGCTAGAAAGTTTCAAGTGTTTCCTAGGAATGTTTTGTCTGTTGTCACCTATATTATGCTATAAATATGTGAATTTCAAGTGACACTTGTTGCTTTTATTTATTCAATTTTTTTTTCTCCTCAAGAAATTTGTGTTTAAAATGAAGTTGACTTTATTAAGAACAATTTTAATTACTGGTCACATTAGATTTACTTTTTTTTTTGGGGGGGGGGAGGTATTGTTGATATGAAATTGTAATCTTTAACATTAGTTTTCTGCATATGATTTTTTAACTCATCTTGAAAAAAAATTTCAGATATGTTGGTATATGCACAGCCATCAAAATAATATCAGCAGCAATATTTGTCTTTGATTGGCTCTTGATCCGCTGGAAATATAAGCTGGACATGGAAGGGACAATGACTGTGGGAGACATTGTTAACTCCCTCATGTCAGTGGATAAGAATGAAGATGAATCTTCAGATGAGCTTGAGAAAACAGTGTGGTTACCGGAACTCCAGGGAACACAGCATGTGGTGCCCCATGCCCCTGCCGGAGCTCCTCACTCTACCTCAGCAACAGTATCAGCTCCATCAACTGCACAAAGTAACCATTACCACCACAGGCGGAATGGGTCACTTATTAATAGATCACAATTACCTCCACATGGTCCAGGTAAGGTTTTGGCAGATATGCTCTAGGATATAGATATAGAAGATTTAGAGTGATATTATTTTGTGTACATTATTATTGAATAAGACATTCCACAGTTTTTGATTCTCTCCTGATATCTTTTATTTTTTTATAATTTCATGTGACTGGTTTATAAGTGGGTAAAAAGTATTCAGTAATAAGTGGATATTTTCACGAGGGAGTAATGGATATACTTTCATAAGAATTTTCTACTTGTAAAGCATCACCTTTTTAGATAGTAGAATGGTTATATTATATTTTTTAGTATTGTTAGTATGAAATGTATAATATTCCCATATTCATGGAGACCCATCACCCATATTGTCCCTGCTCACATTGTTGTCTCTGACAGGTCACAAGAGATCCCAGTCGGGCTCTTACATCCCGCCTCGCCCATGGGCTGGCCTTTACCAGCACAGGCGTTCCCACTCCAGTTCAGGATACCAGCACCTGCCTCTTCCTTCTGGCCCACCTCCACAGGGGATTCTAGCCACGCAGCCGGGACACCAACGGCGAGCAAGTTCTGGACAGCAAGTGACATTCCGAGGACTTGCAGAGGATCCTAGCGACTTGACGGGAGTGAGAGTGGTGGTTCAAGGTCACACAAGCAGTCCAGATGAGGATGATATTGCAATTAAGGTGTAAGGGGATGTGGGTGACTTATATTAATCTTAGCTTTTTTTATTTTATTTGTATAAACAGAAGGGTGTATGTGTATGTTTGTGTGTGTATATGAACACACACACATATGCACATTCATACACTTACACACTCATACATTCATACATACATCAATATATGCTTTAATTATTCTGAATTAATGCTTTGTACTATATAGGTAACAGGCTTGCCTATTTATAACAACTATTTTGACACTGAAATTTGCTACTGTCACTTGTTGATAATTAAGCCTGAGGTTACAGTGAATTTAGGAAATGTTATACCATGGTGTTTGTAGTCCTCTAATATGCTTCCATGTAGTGGAGTGGCAGTGGACACATGTAGTCCAAACCCCTGCCATGTATGGGAAAATTCTCCCATTTGGTTACGATATATGATACCTATGGTTTGCAGCATAGTATGATGATGCAAATATATTTATGATATGCATAGCCTTTGAAACAAAACTCTAGGTTTTTAAACATATAGACTGCTTAATTGGACGAGATGCCGTGTACAGAGCTCGGACAATAATTAAAATGAGGATTAGGCTGGCATGTTGCTTGCATAGGAGTAGAAGAGACTTGGGGCCTCTTGTGTAATGTGATAGCTTGACTTTCTATAGGATTACCATAGAAGTGATATGATGTCAGATTTTAACCTCATTCCAGGCTTTAGTTTGGATACATATATATATATATACACACAGGTTGTTTAATGTACATAAAGATGAAACAAAAGAAAAACTATCTAGTTATAGTTCTATATTGAAACTTAAGTGCCTAAAGTTGTATGACCGTGGTACCATTCTTGATAATTCACGTGCTCAACTAATCTTATAGTCAGAGATTTGGACATGGGGGGAGGGGGTTTATTGACTGGGAAGAGAAACAAAACAAAACATAAAGGTAAAAGCAAGATTTTTTTTTTTGAGAGAGAGAGAGAGAGAGGAATACTTTTTTCTGTTCTAGATCTAATTTACATTGAATCGAAGGTATGGTACTTTTGTAATTATGTGTAGAGACATTCAGCTAGATTTTAAAAGTCTATTTATGTATTTATTTTTTCTTTACTTTAATAAGCTGGTGGGAGGATTTGGTAGATTGTAATTATTTGTGAAATGAAAAGCACTCAGCAACCTGATGCATTAAATACATTATTGTATTTATATATCAGGTTCTTCTGTTTTGTGTAGTGTTGTATGTACATACACATACACACACACATGTATGTATTTATGTATGAATGTATATATACATACATAGATACATACATGCATACATATGCACAATATATATATATATATATATATATATATATATATATATATATATATATATATATATATATATATATATATATATATATATATATATACATACATATATGTATATATATGTATATATATGTGTGTGTGTGTGTGTATGTGTGTGGGGGGTGTATGCATATATATAACATTATATAAAATTCTGTTTCTGTGGTAAATGATATTCAGTGGCATATACCATGTTTCTGTGTTCTGCTGATCCGGGAGGACTAAAAATTTTAGATATAAAAACTTCAGCCAAAACCGATTTATTACAATTTCTTTTTGTTCCCAGAACTTTATTGATTTGTATTAAATTAGGAACCATGAGTTTTTGTTTTGAATTTTCTCTAGTTTGTCAGTGATACCTTGGCACTGGATTTCTTATCCCTTCTACTCCTTTTATTCTATTTTCCCATTCGAAAGTTGAAGGAAAGGCTTTTTAACAAATTCTGATTAACTATACCAAAGTTGGATATAGCTACATAATCATGATAGAATTATAGATTTGTATAGCAATTACGTTTGCATTCGTTAAAAGCCAAGATTATTAGAGCTTCTCCCCCTTTTTTCAAGACTTAAATAAAATTCTTTTTAATCTTGCAAAATCTGCCAACAACACGACCACACATCTGTGTACATTGACCTCAGGGGCCCTGTGCAAATCCCTGTGGCCTTCAATTAAGAAAAACAATTCTTCTCTTTCGTTACTCACTTGTGTTTGACTCTTTCCTTTTCCTTCTGACTGTTAAATGGGTGTGTGTACATACTCATTCTTATAAGTAGTAAGGGCAGAAATATTATGGGGAAAACATTATGTAAAAAACATTGCAACATCTGGTTTATGCTCCAGGAATTTCTCAAAGCTTTTAGACTCTGTTAGGGAAATAAGTGAACCCTATTAATCTGGATATCTATGGAAATGTATCATATTTATCACCGAAATTCTTGGCATGACATATCAAATTAACAACAGGGCCAGAATTTTCTGTCACGTAATAATTACGCAACAGTATAGTCTTTCTGGCTGGACATGTTCTGTGTACAGCCAGCCCATCCACTCACTCGCTAGAACAAGTTATGTCATGGATACATGTCATATTTCATTACCTCATGACAGTTATAGGTGTGCCTGTTACTAAGGGGATGTGCACTACTCTGGGGGATAATTCAGGCCAGATAAAAGTTATAGAGCAAATGTTTTGTGAATAATAGTCCATTCTGTTACTCTCCATCCTTCTTTTCTGGTTTTCTTCATGTTTCATCTCACAATTCTTATCATCACCATATTCACTTCTAGCTGCAACCATTCATATGCTCTTTGATTTTAAAATACTATTTATAAGCCTTTGTGTTGTGCATTTTCTTCACAGGTGCTTCCTTCTATGTATGCCTTTCTTAATCACTTCACTTTCACCTCTTCCTCTCTTATTGTGTTTTCCTGCTGTGTCTTTGGTTCTTGTTGGAGTTTCCCTGAGACTTGGATTCTGTTTAAGGTTCCATTTCTGCCTCTCTCTTTTTACTGTTGATCAGCATTTGTCTTCTTCATGTACTTGCTGTATTTATTAGTAGAAATGAAGTTGCATAAGAAACTGTGTGATGTGAAAAGGAAAGTAATGAAGTAATTGTTAATTTATGTGAATTGTATTCCACAGTTTGTATTTACTCTTGTTTAGAAATTGTAGAGTTATCTTTTTAAAGGTATATTATTTGGGAACACTTTCCCTAGACTCTTTAAATTAATTAGAAGAAAGAAATACATTCTCTGCTAGTGGACAGAATGATTGAGGAGATACTATAACTGATTATTTAATACGTTACTCATTTTTATTGGCAGAAAAAAGAGAGAAACAGAAAGAAACAAAGCTAAAGGATAAAGTTGTAAATTTAGGAACTGAAAGAAAAACAAACCAAAGGTAGCCTGATCAATATCTTTTGAACTTCTTGAGACATTTAATATATTTGTATAAATGTCTATTTTTTACTATAAGACATGTGATTGGGGTGAAAAAGTACTGCTATCCTCAAGCCTACAAGAAGTAACTTTTACACTGCTATAATGTACACCACAACTCCACAACACGACAAAAATCTCAAATTCTGATGGATAATCATGAGCTTTTAGGGGAGGGGAAAAAGTGATATTTGCACACAAATATAATCTAATCATTTTCAAAGTTTTTTGCATATGTGTTTTTACAAATTTTCATGCGTCATCCACTAAATGTTGAGAGTTGGAAAGGGTAAAGGTATCAGAAATTGTGAGTCACCTTTAGTATGCATTTTTCTCGCAATTATTTTCCCAGATATTTTCCACCTTTATTTTCCCTCTCTCATTTTTCTTTCCCCTCATATCATTGTTCTTCCATTTCATGTTTTATATCTTACTCTTCTCCCTCATCCATGTCCTCCTCATATTCAGCAAATTTTTGTTTGTGCTGTTATTGTATGATATTAGTTCTTTAATGCAAGCACAAAGTTTAATCCGGTAGGGAGAGATAGCATGGGTTATGTTGATAATAGCCTAGTGTTAGATGGGTGAATGCCACTGAAGTCTCATAATGCATTTAGTATGTTGTTATTTGTTTTAAGGTTTTAGACAAATTTTGTATAGTGTGCAGGAATACAATATGTCATACATGGGTAAGAAGAACAATATGGTTAAATACAGTATTTGATATTCATTTATTTTCTTAAAATTGTTAGGTATGTATTAGATTTTATTTCATGTTGGTAATATGTGTACAGTATATGTTAAGGCAACAATGGCTTGGAAAAAAAACTTGGAGCTTGGTTTTGTTGAAACATGAAAAAGCACTTGACATAATCATTATGGAATACACTACAGATTCTCATTATGGAGAAAAAGTTCAATATTTTAATGGAAAGTACTAATAGAGGATTTGCAATGCTATTTATATAATTTCTTTTAATGCAGATTATGAAAATTAGTTATTATATAACAGGAATGTGTCAAAGCTCAGGTTAAATGTGTAATGATTGCTTAACATCATCTGGTGTGTGTTTACCAATTTCACCAGGACGTGTATGAGCACAAAACTAAGGAAAAAATAAACCAAAAAAGAAAATTGCATTTGTGTATGTAAAAGCCCAAATGAAGAAGCATGAATTAAGCCAAATTTCAGCACAATTCTTTAAATTTAGATTCTTAATGAAGGTGCTGAAAATTGAATAGTCATGGTCTCCGTTTTCTCTTGATTAGTAATCTTATTACTCTGAATAATGGACCTTCTGTTTGTGTTCTGTAGTTGCTTGGCAAATCCAGATGTAGCTTTACTGATTGCTGGGAACTACCAAATTGTATTTTATGACAGACGGATTGAAGATCCACCATTTCATAATAATAGGTCATTACATGTTTAATTTTTCCTTTTCATTTTTTCAAGTGAGTCATTTAGAACCTATGAAAAAGTAAGTTGTGTTTGTACTTAGTTTATGTAGGGTGAAGAGTAATGTTTTGTCCAGGAGTCTGGACATATAGATGAGCTTTATTCCTATGTATTCTTAGCTTTGTCCACAAGTTAATGATTACAGTACAGTATTTATTTATTTGGGACCATATATACAAAAAATGCACAAATGAATCTCATGCTGTTTCTTTGTAATATTTGGTCCATGCGCTTAACAGTTATAGCATTTGTAATTACATGCTTGTTATGAAGAGAACATATATTGAGCCAGTTAAATATAACTGAAAGAAGTGTCATGAAGCAAAACTGGTAATGTTTTGTGGAAATTGCTGTGCATATGAATGAAAACTTTGTAGGACTTGATGGTACCTGTTTCTTGCATTCTGAGTTTGGCAAATGAGGTATATCATCTGACTGACCTTATGACAAGTTAAAAGGAGAGAGCTGGGTCTTTGCCTGTTCTATAGTTGGAAGAAAAGAAAAGTTGTTTGTTATAATATCTGATGTTAGCATATTATTTCTGACATCACCTTTAAAACACCAAAGGAAGTATTAGTATAACCAAGTAATGTCTCTAACAAAAAGAAAGGAAATTTAACTGGTCCAGTCAGGAGTTTTGGGTCATCTTTTATAATAAAATTGCCATATTGACTTCCAAAGCAACATCATTTCCTTGACCTTTTAAACTTAAAAACATGACATATCAGTGATTTTTCAAATGAGCCATATTGATATAAATTATTTGGTAAGTTACAATTGTTGATATACTTTTATGTATTGAGCTTTGTACATTCCAACAACTGTGATGTGTATGGTTTACCAGTTTTGTTTCATGTTTTCTCTTTCATATTTCCAAAGGGGAAGGCCAGCAGTTATATGAGCCTAGTGTAGAGGTTCAGTATGACTTTGAGATTTCTTGCAATGTAAGAACAGTGAGTCTCTGAGATAGTGCATAAGGCTAGAATAGCTGTCAGTTATGTTTCTTTAATGCTGTTCTAAGGCTGTACAAGTTTTTTACAGATAACTGCTATACGTGATGTCTTGTACAGTATATATTATACACAGGTTGTGTGCACCTGGTATGGTTGGCTATAATTAATAAAATAGTTTAGAATATTTGCTGTTTTATTCAAATATCCTTACTGTTAAAGACCCTACATTATTGTTTACATCAACTTGTTTATGCTCATATGAATTGCAGAAAATAGTTGTAAATAAATGAAATAAAAGATGAATGTGAATATAACACAGACTTACGCGAGGCCCGACCCAATCAATATTCATACATGCAGATATGCATATACTCGTAAATAAATGCATATCTGTCTCTCTGTCTGATAGATAAACAACTTTCTATCAATTTATCTGGTAGATATGCATATCTAGACTAGATTTGCATTTATTTCTGTGTATATGCATGTCCGTATAATTAAAATGTTTTGGGTCAGGTCTCGCACAACTTTAACAAAGCGGCCGAGAGTGTACTTTTGTTGATCATATTGCCACAGATCATGAACACTTTACACAGTCCACTGATATATGATTTG